ACGGGGGGAACTGGAGGGGGAGTGAAGCAGCAGTATTGGCAACGCCGTTTCTCATTCTTTCAAACTTTCAGGAACAAATGTACAACATGAGGATTTTTTTTAGTCATGCTTAAATTAAACACAGTGCATGCCTGTTGTTCATTGCAGTCCTAACAGAACCTTGGATCATAAGCACCTGCATGCAGGAATATTGCAAGAATTCTGAGTTTCTGCAGAAAAATAAAGGCCAGTATTAGAGTTTTGGGTGCTTTGCGTGTGTGTGCATTAACGAGTCATGTCCTGTTTGTCTGTGTGTGAGGGTGTGTCTGATGTTCCACAGTGTGTGCACAAACTGTACATGCAAATGTGTTTCTGTGTGCAAGCTGCATCGGACTAAGTCACCGGTGCAGCCTGGGGTGGGGACCAAGAGCACAGGAAAGCCTGAAGTAGATGGAGTGGAAGACACCCCCACACACACACACACACACAAATACACATTAAGCATGTCTGCCCTCTGACATAAAGTCTGCGCTATTGTGTAATAAAAAGTATAGGGAGCAGGGGATGGGGGGTGGGGGTGTTACAGGATGTGAGTGTATGATTTATGATTCAATAGCAAAAGACAAGGGATGAAATTTATAGCAGAGGGAAGTGAGGGAAAGGGGGAAGAGGGAGGGGGATGTGGTGCAGCAGCAATGAAGAGGGGGGGAAAAAGGGGGAAAAGTCAGAGGGGAACATTTCTGCAAATGTGTGTGTACCTCGTTATTTTACCACAAACTCCTATAACAATATATGTGTGGATGTGTGTGGTGTGCATCTATGCTCAGTTTTCCAAGTCCGTCTTGAAGCAACACTCTGGTACCCATGTGACCACTGAGACCGTTTTTGTTGGATGTAATCATTCGTTTCATAGCAGCCATTAAAAGATTGTTTCCCGATGGGGACAAAACCTGCATTCCTTGTTCTGAGTTGCAAAGTTTAGCTGAAACTTAGAAGTTTGAGTTAGTCAAACAAAAAGTGGTATGTTTAAAAGTTAAAGCTTCTTTTGTGTTACTTTACCTCAACTGCTATTCATAGAAAGGCGTGTGCACAACACACAGAAGGGAACTGATCCTAAGAAAAAAAATCTTCTGGAAGATGTCCAGCTGATTTGATTAAATCAAACTAGTAGAAGAGCATTAAAATGTTTTTTTTTCTTTAGATCTTGAAAACTGTCAAGCCATCCTTTAAAATAACTGAAGCGCATGTCTTCTTTTAGTCAAAAACTAGAACTCGTTTTGCGTGCTGTTTGGATGCAGTTTTAGTTGTAGTTTTAGTCTTTAATCACAAAGACATGAACCATTTCTTTAACCCTTTGTTTGTTTCCCACAGGAGAAATCGCTGCGGCTGCAGACAGATACATGCACACACATGCGTTTAAGCTGACACTCTATAGGGAACATCTGGTGCGCTTGAATGCTCATTTTATGTCTAGCATCTCCTTCTGAGCACACACACACACACACACACGTCGGGTATTCATATCTTATGGGGGCATCTAATTGACATAATGCTTTCCCTAACCCCTTACCCCAACCCTAACCATGAAAAGTGAATGACTAACCCTAACCTTTACCCTAAATCTAACCATAACCCAATTGTAACCCTCACACTAAAACCACATTTTGAGTCTCAAAAATGCCGTCAAACTCGTGGGGACCAGGATTTTAGTCCCCACAAGTATAGTAAACTTCCAAATTTTGGTCCCCACAAAGATATGAATACACACTTAAACACACACATGCATGCATGTGTTTGCATAAAGCTGAAATGCAGAAATAATGTAGCAGGTTTGGAATCTGTTAAAGTTAGGATTTATGGTGAAGTCCTGTTTCTCTGTGATTACAGTCAAAAGCAGTGATGTGGTGTATAAACCTGACCTGTCTGTGCCAGAGAAATCAGACCTAAACCAGACCCTGACTTTGAACTCGGGCAACGTGTGTAAAAGAACACAAATCATGAGCACTGCACTGTTTTCAAAAGTCATAACCTGAATGATGGACTGTTACGTTTTTATGACTTTGCTCATTCTGTCATCTGGCACATTTTTGTGACTAAAGCTGTGTCCGCTTCCTTCAATAATTGCGAGAGGCTCATATTCCCTTTGTTCTGCTCTACTTGGATCCAAACTTACTTCATAATAATGATAATGTTCCTGTCGGAGGGCACGTCATACAGGCCAACAGTCACCCTGTGTGCAACAGTCGCCCTCCGCTGTGATGTCAGAGTAATGCACCCTTCCTACTGAAAGTTGCCAGGATTAAGAAATGTTGGCAGAGCACGGAGGCTGAATGTTATTCTATTAAAAGGCTTTGCTTTCAGCCTCAGCAAGGTGTTAAGAGTGCCAAAAACCTAAGTGTTGAAACAATGCTGCTAACCAAAAATGTGTCTAAAAATAACTTGTGAATGACAACACTGACTCCTTATTTTCTATAATGTAGTTTCAAAGAATAAAAGAGAGAACGACAGAAACACTTTTATGAAGGATCTCAGTTTCCTTTGGAGACAGAGCTTCTCTGCTGATCTCTCAGTTGAGCCCACTGTTGATGTGGACGCTCAGGTGCTTGTACTCCTCGACCACATCAACATCCTGTCGCAGGACAGACACCGGCCATGTAGCCGTCCTCCTCCTTCAGAAGTCGATCGCCAATTTTCCGGTCTTATTCGTGTTCAGAAGCAGATGACTCCTCCCACCACGTGTGGAAAAGTGATCCCTTTGACCTGAAGTTGCTATTTCAGTGTTTGTGTATGATGTCTCTGAGACTTGATATCCACATTATGGTCATCTCAGGCACACAGCTGTGGCTGTGAGTGCAGAAGCCCCGCCCACCTGATCAAATTCTATTTGTGAGTGGGAAAAAAGCAAAATCAGCTTATTTTAAACTAGTCATGCAAAGTTATTAATCCCTGAGGGCTAACTGCAGAAAAATCACACTAGCAGAAGATGGATTCAGCGCATCGCCTTCTGGCTAATTGGCCCAGCATGCTCTGGCTGCACCACTCTGCTTTCACTTAGATGGGATTCAAACCCACACCCTGGCTTACGAAGGCTGTATTAGGCCACCATGGCTGCTACCTAAGGCCCAGTATTGGGTAAATACGTTTTTTTTTTTTAAAAAAACTGGGAAATATGCAGCTATTCCAGTAAAGTGCAAGAAGAAAAATACTAAGTTGAAAATCAGGAAAACAATAAATAACAATCAACCAAACACTTAAGATTTTATGTGCATTATGTATAAGTAGGCAGATGACAATACAGAAAATGTTCAAACCCTTTGGACACGCTATGGCAGTGCTCATTTTCTGTTTTCAGCACACACCACGCCGTGAGAAGTCACTTAGGTTCATGTCACTGTCATTAGTGACACCAGTGTTTCTGATTCACAACAGCTGCTCTCACCAACACCATTTCCAGCTCTCCAGAACTGCACGAGGGGGAAACGGGTGAACACGAGTCATTGACTTTGACCAAAAATAGATGAAATGGGCTCGGATGCAAATGCGGTGGCTGCTCTGAATAATCCAAATGGATAAAACATTCATTGCAGCAGCACTGTTTACCTCGTCGCTTTCAACACGCGCATCAGTTATACTGTAAGTGCACTCAGGGAAAAAAAACTTTTTTTTAGAAAGTCTATATTTATTATAGACTATAGGGTATTATAGTGTTTACATTTGAATAAATAAGCGGTGTATTCAGTAATATCACACAAAGGAACAATGTTGCTGCGCATGTGTAGATTGACGCAAGCAAGTGACATTTAAAAACAATTTCTCACAGCGTTTTCTGACTCACGACAGTCACTGATCAATGTATTGCGTTCACTATTTTCTTTTTCCACACAAAATACAGTTTACTGCTCTGAGGTCATTCCGTCCCTTAAACGTTGACCCCTGCAGAAACACGAATGAGGTCGTTGGTTGTCCTCTCCCCTGAAAAACACAGTCGCTCTGTGATTGATCTCCAGTCCTGCACATGTTTATGAGACAAAGCTCGTGTTCAGACAAAGTTCAAGTTTATGTTTGTAAAGGGATGAAACAGCAGCCACGTTGTTAAATGTTATCTCCACAAGGCCGCATTTTGAGCCCTAAAACCTTTTTTGGTCTTCAGAGTTCCCTCAGTTCACTCCAGTTTTACACGGGAGTGGACAATTCCCAGTTAATCTCATTACATATGTTAATATCACGCAATATGATCTGGGAACTATATATATAATATATATTAATTTATATATATATATATATTAATATTATATATATTATATATTATATATATAATATATTTATATATATTGCTTTTATATATATACACACATATATAACACAGAGAACGTCTATGCAATATCACTATGTTTATGTTACATCAGCTATACACTGACCTTCATAGGAGGGTGTCACAGTCAACGGACAGCCCGCTGAGCACACTGAAACTCTGCTTCACTCTCAGTCTGAGTTGAACTGGGAAGGCCGAGTTGGCCCTGATACCTTTGCCCTGTGCGAGGTGTCGCAAAGTGTAACGATTACAACACGGTGCAAAAAATGTAACTGACATTAACAATGACCTTTTTAAGAGAGCTGTGGCCGAGAGTGCAGCCGAAATCGCAACAAAAATAACATAACAGTTTTATAAAGATATTTTAAACGGACAAACAGGACTGGATCTATTAAATAACATAAAGTCAGAATTACACGTGGAAAACCGGTAATTTCTTTATTTTATACATTATACATTATAGAATATATATTATAAATACAGCGAGCTTCATTCAATATTAGGAAATGTTAATTACAAAAACAATGGTGGAAAGAAAAAAAAAAGCTGTAATGTATTTTCTTTAGTCGCGTGAATGGCGAGGTAGGGGCGGGCGTTTCTACACTTTTAGCCAATAGCGTCGTCAGGAGGCCTTGGTTGACGTAAACCTCAACCAATGGCTGAAGCGGGCAGCTGGACGAGCGCGACTACTGTTTGTTTTTTTTCTCTCAACGTGTTAGCAGAAAATTTGTGGATTTAACGGGAATTTTTTTTCTTTTTTTGGTTAATAACGCAACCAAACCGAGCAAGGGGACAACCGCTGGTTTACCGAGTTGGAGTTTATAGGAAGATTTTCTTCACTGTGTGGTTTTCTTCTCACACCCAGGACCGGAAAAGAGCGTTTTACCCCTCAAGACAGCTGGCTTGCGGCCCCCCCGCACCGATTTGCGCTTGAAGTTGAGTGGTGAGTGTTGGTGCGATAAAGGGGAAGCTACCTGTTTGCTTCATATCAAGAAATATAAAAAGAAAGCTAAACATGAAACAATATTAACCTTACGTGGTTAATTTTTTTTTTACGCTAAATTCTCACTAGGCTGGCACTTCCTGCCTTCATGAGCTTAGTCTAAAAAGGAGTGAGGGGGCTGTTGTGAAGGTGGTAAAAACAAACTTCCACAGTAGTAACAGTGGCCTAACTACAATGTAGGGCAGCCAAGTTTATGAACATATGCAGTTTTCAAATAATTCTCTTTTTAAATCACGCTAATTGACACAAAAGGCCTCATGTTGTCCATTATTAGAGTATTTTGAGCCGCATAAAATCAGTTAAAGCGTGTCTTCCCAGAGTGAAGCGCCAGAAGCGCGTTTCTCTCCGGAGCCACGCAGGCATTTGTCTCTGGGGTTAGTCAGGAGTACAGACAGAGGTGCTGTGACGGAGCTCGAGATGTTTGTGCACATGCTGCATTCAAGTGCTGCCCGATTTTTGATTGCCATCTATACTGTAGCTCTCAATGCTGACTAGCAAAATAGAACTAGCAGGTAGAATCTCAGTGTTGTGGTGCTTTTTTTTTAATGTAGCTCCTCTATCATGTCACAAAGACTCACGTACCTCTGCAGCAACGCCACCTTTCATGTTTAATGGAACTAATTCCATGTAGGGTTTATACATTTCCCTAACAAGTGTACTGTGTTTCCCAGGAGAAAACGCGAATCCCTTTTTGGGTTGTATCTGGAAGGGCATCCGGGGTTAAAACAATCAGTAGCTTCTTCTTTATGCTGTTTAACTTGATTAAATTACAGCAGATATTGTTAAAACTGTCTCCCCCAATCAGACTGTTAATGTTTAGATTTTTTTTAACGAGTGTAAACTGCATTTGCATATACAGTACTCATTACTTAAAGCTGTGTATCAGTTACTTGTAATCTCACACACTGTCAGTTACTTATCCCATTTATAGACTACTTTCAACTGCTCCCTATATCTCCTACTCTTCACACTTACATCAGGCTAATTTATTTTAAGTGGGTGCTTACAAATAGAACATCTCCCACATTCCCTTTACTAAATGTAATCTGTTTTTATTTGATTAGATATTTTACTGCTGTCCACACTGTTAGCAGTTTGAGCCAAACTTTTGTTTCAGCCATTTATTCACTCTGAATTCCTGTTGTCCTCGTGTCTCTACTCCTTGGGCACTTTTCAGTTCAGTTCAGTTAATTTTTATTTCAAACATTTCAAACATGTGCCTTCACAATCATTACAAAATATCATTCCATTTAGTTTACCGCTTTTCTCACCTGTTCACCTCTCATTTAAATTGTTACTCCTTAAATGTATAATTTTGGGGAAGCTGACTTCATTTTTACATATATCCTCTGGCTGCTGCAAAGATCTTCCCAGTGGTGACACTTGTACCTTTTTTCACTGCTTCCTGACAAAATTTTATTAAACAAAAACGTGAATTGAATTTGTTGATAATAAAGGATTTAAATTGCTTTTACAGCATGCCTGTTAATGTCCTGTTCATTGGCAGGCTAAGTGGTTTATACACCGGGGGCGATCGTGGCTCAAGAGTTGGGAGTTCGCCTTGTAATCGGAAGGTTGCCGGTTCGAG